GTAAGGGTGTGGATGTGAGTGAAGGTGTGGATGTGGGTGGGTGTGGGAATGTTGGTATGGAACTTTTTCTGCTCTACAACAACACCCACGCCCACACACCCACACCCACACCCTCCATAAAAATAACAAACTAAAGTATCATGTTGTCAAAATGGACTTGATATCCATCTAGTTAAGTTTAAGTGTATAGAATTTGCAAAATAGATAACCGTAACGAACTATCTTAGGCTATGCACATCAAATGCATGAACATCTGGAACAAAAACGTCATGCGCTATGGACATATCTTGAGAACTGCGTATTTCATGCACATAAGAAAAAAAAATGAGGTCTGCGCAGATCAAGTATAAGAAAAAAAGTTCGCCTAGGAAATGATTTTCCTCAATAGTTTAATGCAGCTTTTCTAACCATGTGATAAAGCAGTGAAGCCTTGACACCGAGTTCTATGAGATTTTCAGGGCTAGGGTGAGGATCATAGAGGTTAAATACAAATTTTGGAAATGTCATTTGTTATTATAAAAGTTCCGAGAATCTATGGGAATCTGAGATTATCATGGGATTTTCATCAGATTCCAGGATACCAGAAATCCCACGGGAATCTCGGAAATCCCATGAGAATTCCGAGAATCTCATGGGAATCCGGAATTCGCTGTTTCCTCCTTGTGTAAATATCATTCAAAGATTACAATATACTATATTGTCTTACATAATAGTTATATTAAAATGAGAATACTTAAATAAGTTTGTAAAAGATTTTTACTTTATATTCTGTTTTAATACCAAAAAAAAACTTTGATGAATTAATATGTTAGTATTAAAAAATCAGTTTACATCCATATGTTTCTCTTGTTTGTCTATTTCAGTTTTCCGTGTACCAATCGATAATAACGACCGCCTAGTGCAACTAGTTCTTCATGAGTTCCACGTTCAACAATTATTCCATTATGCATAACACAAATCATATCTGCATTCTGAATAGTTGATAAACGATGTGCAATTGTGATTGATGTTCGATTTTCTTGAGCACGATCTAATGCTTCTTGAACTAATTTTTCACTTTCACTATCCAAAGCACTTGTTGCTAAACAAATATATATAATAGATTAGAGATGTGCAGGGTAAGCTTTTTTCTTACCCTGTGAAAGTTTTCTCTACCCTTACTCTACCCTGCCCTGTGACTGTTCTACCCTGACTCTACCCTACTCTGTGGCTGTTCTACCCTGACTCTACCCTACTCTGCGTTTCTTTGCGCTTCTCTTATCCTTACTCCACCCTACCCTGTAGGATAGAGTAGGGTTACTTTGCACATCTCCATAATAAATTAATCATAATATCAATTTTTATCGCTTCTTACCTTCATCAAGCAATAGGATTTTTGGATTTCGAATTAATGCTCTAGCGATAGCTAAAATCAAAATGTAATCAACAAATAAAACAAAAAAAAATTCTCAATATTATCTAACCAATTCGTTGTTTTTGTCCACCTGATAATTGTAGTCCTTTTGAACCACAATTTGTTTCATATCCCTTTGTTTTTATAAGAGAAAGTATTTTTCTCTAGCTAAAGAAATATAAACTAATTATATCTTACATTTGGAAGATCTTGAATAAAATTATGAATATTAGAATTTTTAGCTGCTTTAATTATTTCATCAAGTGGAATATCTTTTCGACTGTTATCACCATAAGCAATATTTTCACGAATTGACATATCAAAGAGAATTGGTTCTTGTGAAACAATACTAACTAATAGACAGACAAAAAAATTTCTATGTTAGATAGAAAGAATACTTTTATACGTACTTTGTGATCGATACCATTGTAAATTAAGACTTCGAACATCTTTTGAGTCAGCTAACTACAATAGAGAAAAAACAAATCAAAACATGAATAAAAAAAAAAACTTTATTTACCAAACGACCAATATTTGCGTCATAAAATCGTTCAATTAATTGAATAGTTGTAGATTTTCCACAACCAGATGTGCCTATAGAAAACAAACAAAATTTTCGAATGATTCATTCACAATGAATAATGAGAAGATTGTGCATACCAACAAGTGCTATTTTTTGACCTATGAGAAAATAAGAAAAGTTTAATCAATACGAGAAAAAAAAGAATAGATACCGGCTTTAATATTAAGTCTAAAATTTCTAAGAATAATTGATTCAGGTCTATTTGGATAGATAAAATAAACACCATCAAATTCGAGTTGCCCTGAAAAATTAGGCTATAAAAGAAGGAGTATAATTAAACTGTATGTTGGAAATATTTATGATAATATTCACTTACAATTTCATCGCCATCGTTTGATTCATTATTGATCATAGGTTTTCGATTTAATAGTTCAAAAATTCTTTGAGCGGCTTCAATCGCTTTTCCATAGTCTGGAGATCTATAAAGCAAACCTTTTGTTATCTCATATATATATCACTGGAGATCTTACAGTATAAAAGTCTGGGTTACAATTTCACCAGTAACTGTGACAGAATTGAAAACCCTAGAAAGTTAATTCAAATACATTATTTATTGGAAAAAGAATTACGAATTAATTCTTGTCTTTCCTCTTACATGTACATATCCTCAAATGTGATTATATCTTGATTAACAAGAGAAGTACCAAGCGCAATAAGAGCTGCCGAAGCAAAGATTGCACTCGAACTTGATATTGAGAAGAGAATGCCGGAAAAATGAGCTCGTTTGATTGTTGATCTATAGAAACCTTTATTGTTTGATAAATATGAAAAACAAATAAAATTTACCGATAAATAATATTGAGTAAATGAGAATACTCATTATAAAAATGAGTTTCTTTTGTTAATTGAGCCACTGTTCGAATATTTTGAATAGTTTCCACGATCACCTAAAGTATAAGAGATGTAAATTAATAAATATAAATTAAATATTTTAATCATAGAAAACGAAAAGTTTATTTCTAATTTAACTCACTCAGATATATCGAAACATAAATTGTTAATGATTGTATATATGTATTTCAAGTTATTATCACTTTCAATGATATAAGAGATATAAAAAAATTTAGAAGTATTTTATAGAATGATGGATTTTCAAAATTTGTCTATATTTTATAAAATATTCATTTAGTTTTTATGTCTATAAAATCTAATATTCTCAGTCTTTGAATAAAAAATTCATATATTAAAGCTTTACTGTTCTCATTAAACACATTCGAAAGAACAAAATATCGAATTTTTCTCTAAATTACTACTCTGCTTATTTTCAAGATATACGTAAATATCTCTTATAACATGATAATTTTTAGATATTGAACATTTTCATATCTTGGAAAACTTGACAAAATATATCCGCAATCATTAATTGCGTCTATTTCGAATCTCATTAATTTATAAATTATTCTCAAACCTTTCCAGCATCTTCTATAAATTTTTCGTCTTTCCTCTCAAATGCTGCTGTTACACGAATCTGTAAATAGGTTCCAAGTATCATGATCGGAAAGAAGGCGATCATAAGCAATGTCAATCGCCAAGAAGATACGAATCCAATAATAATGCCCATGCTTATTGACACAAAATTTTGACAAAAGAAACCAAAGCGAATACCACTTGCACCTTGTACAGCTGATGCTTCAGTTGCTAAGCGTGTACATAATGCACCTGTACTATGTCTTGCTTGATCAAAATAATTAATTTCTTGACGAAGAATAGCACGAAAAGCTTCTGAGCGAAGTCGTTTGGTAAGATTTTCACCAGAATAAGCAAACATATAACTCTGAAAAGAAAATGTATGTAAAAACTTATCGTACAGACTATCAAAATACATACTTGAAGTGTTTGAGATATTAGAACTACAATTCCCAAACCAACATGAAGTAAAGCATAGAGAATAACTTTTTGGTTTTGAGCATCTTTATCACAGCTTTGAAAGACCTTTCGGATGAATAAAGTTTTAAAAGTTGAGTCCTATTCAAGCATTTACCGCTGTCATTTTGGTCCGAATAATTGAAAACGATGGTTCTAATGTTCCAGTGAACAAAGCTGCTATACATCCGATTACAATAAATATCCATTCTGGTTTATTTATTCGTAATATAGCCATTGTTATGTTTTGCTTTGCCTCCTATAGTAATTATATTCAGTACAAATATTTAACTTTTTCTTATTACCTTTTTTGTTTTGATCTTTTCATCATCGTTTCCTTCCAGATCTTCATCTATTGCCGAATCTTTCTTGCCATACAATTCAACCAATACCGATGGAGTAATACTAACTAATGTTGAACTGCGATCTCTTTTAATATTCGAATTATCTAAATCTATTTGATCAGAAAGAAGTATCTTTGCAGCCTGTTCTTGTTCAAATTCTAGTTCTTCTTCTTCTTTAGCTTGACGTAAATTTTGTTGTTGAATAAGAGTAAAGTATGTACCACCAATGCTCATTAAAGAATCATGATCACCTTCTTCAACAACTTCTCCTTTTTGCATCACAATAATTTTATCAGCATTACGAATCGTTGATAAACGATGTGCAATTACTAATGTTGTTCGACCTATTGATTAAAAAAAACAAAACAAACTCATAGAGCAGTAGTTGTATTTAACATAACGCACCTTTAGCAGCACGATCTAGAGCGTTCTGTACTATCTTTTCACTTTCATTGTCAAGTGCACTAGTAGCTATTATATAAGAAAGAAAAGAATAGAAGAATCGAAGTAAACATGAAAATAAGGGCAAAAGCTTACCTTCATCAAGAAGTAATATTTTCGGATTTCGAATAAGTGCTCGAGCGATAGCTAAAAAGTTCAATAAGAAGAATACAGGTATTAGTTATACTTTTACAAACCAATCCTTTGTTTTTGTCCACCAGATAATGCAGCTCCACGTTCACCTACTTGAGTCTCATATTTCTACACAAAATATTATGTCTAATAATATAAAACAAAACAAATAAGTTTCATACTCACATCAGGTAGAGTCATGATAAAATTATGTGCATTAGCCATCTTGGCTGCTTCATGTATTTCTTCATCAGTAGCTGAATCACGTCCAAATAGAATATTTTCACGAATAGTTGTATGAAATAAAATAGGTTCTTGACTAACAACACCGATATGTTGTCGTAACCATTTTAAATTGTATTCATTGATTTGTTTTTCATCAATGAATATTGAACCTGAATCTGGATCATAGAATCGTTGTAATAATTGTACACATGTTGATTTTCCAGAACCAGATGAACCAACAAGAGCAACAGTTTGATTATGCTTGATATCGAATGATAGATTAGTAAGAACTGCAACATCTTGTCGTGATGGATAAGAGAAATGAATATTTGAAAAACGAATATCACCAATGAAATCATCTTTTTTGAGACCTGTCTCCGAATCACTATTAATTGTTGACGGCTATTAATTAATTGAGAAAAGAAGAAAGCAATATAATATTTGCATGCATTTGAAACAAGAAAGTTTATTTACTTCGTCGATAGCTTTCTGTACAGTGTAAGCAGCAACTCGAGCTTGAATTAATGCTTGAAATTGTGGACTAATATGTTCTAAACTGTTAGCAGCACTGAAAACGGTCAGAAAAACCTAAAAAAACATGTTGTGTATCAGTAACTGGAAGAAAATTGATCAGGTATAATAATAAAAGTAACACGTTTTAGAATTTGAAACAAACGAATGAAATGCTAGGTAATCAATAGCCGTCGTTTTGTAAAACATGATCTAAAAGTGTTGAAGTATAGGCGAAAAAATGTGGACCCCTCTCTCCAGTGGACAGTATATGGAAGCAAGACAATAAAAAAATTTAGAATTTTTGAGAAGTTTTTTTAGACAAATCTATGTTATTATAAAAAGCGCATATACCAATTTGATACGTCCTTGATGCGCTTTCATATAAAATAATACTTGAGCTGTTCGCATGTCGTACTTATTAGCAAACCAAAATACAAGGAAAAGATTTTTGTCACTTGCCTATTCATTGTGCTGTGCTCCTCCTCTTTACACAGACCGTGACAGACATCACCAGGGAAGCGTTACAAACCGTGACAAAAGACGATCCATGTATCATCACAGACACCTTAGCAACGGTTCTCTTCGTCGTCACTGACCGCGACAGATATAGGCACGAAACAGAGTTTTATTACGAAATTACTGTGAAACACGAGTGAATTTAAGATATCAATCTTTCGCCCTCTTTTCACAGTCATTGTAACCTATTACGATCAATATCGTTCATCATGAACGCATATTTATAATATGCAGTAATTCAGAAACTGAAATACATGTTGCTGAATCTCCTGATTTATACTATAAGCAGCTCCATCGTGTTTCTAATTATAATCCCATAGGAACTGCATTAACAGTTGTTATTTTTTACTTTTTTCATTTTGTTTTATTTTAGAAATTGAGATTTCATCGGTATTCTATGATTTACAAATACAGGGACGTAGAAATCTTTCGTGATATGCGTTCTAAATGGATTTACGATAGTTCCGTATTAGTTTCGATCTTGAGAACTGTTTAACGGTTCTTTTGAAAGGAACTGATCTATACCAAAAGTTCTTTTCATATGAACTAATCTGTTCCGACAATTCTTTGATAGGATGTGATTTGCTTCATAAGTTCATTAGAGTGGAAATGAACTGTCTCAAAACATTTTGTTTCCATAACTAGGTCAAAACTGTTATTTTATTGGAAAATTTTCCTAGTAGCGGAGCAATTTTGTTCTGTTTGTGAAAATAAAACTTTTTTAGTGCAGTTTGATTCTGTTCAATGGAACTATTGAAACAGTTCTTTTGAGCGATTCATCTAAATTTACGAGCTTGGACTATCACAGTTCTAGCTCTAATTAATGTAATCCAATAAAATGAGAGATAATTGATAAAATATCGGGAAATATCATATAGAGAGAGATAAGTATACATCCCTATCAGTTACTTTCTCATCACTCGATTCCATGAGATTAATAAGTAGTCGTTTTCAGAGAACATCAAATGTCATGTCACTTTTTCAATGACCCAACTCGACCTGAGGTCCAATGATTTTATCTGAGTTGATCGATCTGTGTCGGTCTTTGATCATTTTGTTGGTATACTTGATCGATATATAAGATAATAGAAATCGGAAAAAATTTAGCTTGAATTATTGCAAGTTGCTCTCTATTTATCGCACAAATCAACTTTCCCATATAAATGTCAAAACATATTGTCCGAATTAAATAATAAAGTGAGAATATTTATTGTCTCGACTCGAACAAAAAATTGTCTTATACTTTTAATGAGGAGTAATCTTTCTCATTCGATCACTACTAGTATTCAAAACTTGAAACAATGGAAAATTTAAATCCAGTTTGTGTGAATTTATTCTATTTTAAGTGAACATTTCTTTTTTAGTTACTGTCTTGTTGAAAAGAAGATGAATGTTTAACAGATTATATGACTGAAAAAGATGTATGTTTCAACTTAAAATTAAATCTTTTCTAAAGAAATATTACTAATTGTTTTATTCAGTTTATTATTACAAGTCCTTTTTTTTTCGACTTTTTAACAATCATTGGTATACATTTATCAAACTGTCAAATTACGAGAGAAAATGTTTTAGTGTAGAAAAGAAAGGAAACTTCAAAAAATTTAGACAAAATGTAGAAGCCAATATAAAAAAGACTTGTGTTATATGATGAAATGAACGATTACTGATATTTTTAGTAAATTTGAGTTATCCCTTTTATACTTACAGTGTAAACACTACCAATACTGTAGTTTTCTTCTCGAATCAATTTTGCTCCATACCAAAATCCTTTTATAGAAAATACAAATAGTACATAGTGAAGTAACTTGAAATAAGAGAAGAAAGAGTGTACCTAATCCAAATAAACTATATATTATACACAACTGTATAGCTTGTGTAATACCATTGAACACGGTTTTTTTGATACCACTCTTTTTAGCATCATCAAGAGATTGTTCGTACCTGAACATTAAAAATAGTTTCTTGTATACTCAAAACAAGTATGAATCTTTTGATAAATAAAGGTTGTTCATAAACTTCAGCCCAGTTTTTGTTTTTTTTTCTTTATATTTGCTATATTGAAATGTGGATAGGCATTATATATACATATATATATATATATCGATTTGTCCGAACGTATCGCGATGACATTTTTTCCATAGCATTTTTAATCTTTTTCAGTAACCCAGGACGAAGATTTCGGTCGAAAATTGTTCGGATTTTTTCCGACGGAGTCCTGCCAACTTCCTGTGCTTTCCGGCAGGAACCAGCCGAAAATTTTCGGAAAAAATCAGAAAAATTTTCGGTCAGAATACTGCTTCCGTGTTTCAGCGATTTTCGATGTTTTCCTGCCGGAACCAACCCGTACTTCTTGATCTAGGAATAAGAGCACTTAAAAAATTTTATTGTTTCATCAAGAGATATGTCTTTGTACTCTCCCTCAATTTTCGAAACTCTGTGTTCATTTAGTTTACTCGTTTGGAAAATAGGAAACATATATAGACAAATGTGGTGATGAAAAAAAAAGGACAAAAAGTTGCGGATGTGCTCTGTATAGGAAAACAACAATCTATAGCAGACTTATAGCCGACAGTTTGGAGTATCGAAGAGGAAAAAAATATTGCTCAAGTACACCATTTATTGATATGGGATCTCATTGTGATTAATGTAACGTGATGACATAAATCAGGATTCAAAACTTCCTCATCTACTACTGAATCTTCTCAATGATCAGTAAATATCAACAAAACCATTGTTTGTTAGTACAAAAAACAAGCGTTTTCCATTGCTGTATACTAGGGTCTATAAGACGACAATAGTGATTTTTAAACTTAATATTTTCATTGAGGTTGATGGATTGGGTTATTCTTTCGACAGTGTATCACAATTTCATCGATTTCATGCGAATCGAATGAAACTTTCAGAATTTGTAGGACTTATATCTGGAAGCATAGCTGTAAGTTTTAAAAATTTTAAAAACCTTGCGAAAGGGTCCAAAAGGGATGAGGGGGCAATTTGGGGTCTCCCAGCAAACCGAGATCTTACCTACTTCCTCTATTGTAGATGCTAGAAGTCTGAAAATTTCCACCATATATACAACTTGTTTACATGATCATTTTTTGTAGCGAATGTTTTTTTCCTCGTGTTCTGTTTTTGAGGAAAACTCTATAGAAAATGCTAATTTTTGACGTTTTTTCGGCTCAAATATCTCTATGAAGCTCTGATGAATTTTTAACTCTTATTAGTGCTTTCGAATCGTCAAACTGTTCTCTATCAAACGCCGACATCTGCAGTTCTGTAGCTTGTTCCTAGACCGAATGGCAAAGGCACCTTTTGGATCTACTTTCGAAAATTTCTCAACTTCGCACTCCGCTCAGGCAAAACTCCGGAATTACGAAAACTTGTCCTATAGTGGAACATAATCAGCACACTTAGCTCTATCATTCCTGAAATTTTTGTCTTTGGCTAATGAGTTTGACCGAAAATCCATCTTGACGATTTCATATGGTATTTATAACAGGTATAACAGTCATTGTCTGCAGAAAACCGTCAAGATGGATTTACGGTCAAACTCATTAACCAAAGACAAAAATTTCAGGAATGATAGAGCTAAGTGTGTTGATGATGTTTTACGGTAGGACAAGTTTTGGTAATTCCGTAGTTTTGCCTGAGCGGAGTGCAAAGTTGGGAAATTTTCGAAAGGAAGTCCCAAAGAAGCCTTTGCCATTCGATCTAGGAACAAGCTACAGAACTGTGAGTTTCGGCGTTTGATACATGATAGTTTCACGATTCGAAAGCACTAATAAAAGTTGAAAATTTCGTCTCAGCTTCATAGAGATATTTGAACCGAAAAAAACATCAAAAATTAGCATTGTCTATAGAGCTTTTCCAAAAAACAGAACACGAAAGAAAAAAGATTTGCTACGAAAAATGATCACCTCAACAAGTTGTATATCTGATGAAATTTTCAGACTTCTATCATTTACAATAGAGGAACTAAGTAAGGTCCCGTTTTGCTGGGAGACGCCAAATTGGCCCCCTTCATTTGAACCCTTTCGCAAAATTTTTAAAATTTTCTAAACTTAAAGCTATGCTTCCAGGTACAAATCCTCTGAAAGTTTTATTCGATTCGCATGAAGTCGATGTAAACTCTGGTACACTCTCGAAAGAATAACGCCATTACACGGACAAGCCAATATATATATCTGAAGAATAACATATAAGTTATCATTTAAAAATGATTGCATTCAATTTATATCAAACGTAGAAAGTGTTACATTAGTAAAAATATTGAAAAAATTTTATCAAATTGTTTTATTCTTATTCTACTAGGATTAAGGGAAATAGCATTTACTTGCTCATTTACTATCTGCGAGTCACTTTTGTCCTTTCATTTTTATTGTACACTATTCATATTAGGAAAATTTTGAACATCCATTTTTCTCGTATCAAAAAATTCGATTGAAACCTTCAGTCCGCTGTGATGGTCAGTAAGCCATTACGATTGACAGCGACTCGTTTCATGTCATTCTTCTACACATGTGCCTCTTTATGACACATTCCGATTACTTACATAATCACTAAAATTCCAATGTCTCTCTAGTTCAAGCATAACATTTTGCTGCTATTATCTTCTAAATACAGACGAAAACGAATTCTCGTACACGAATAGCGTGCAATAAGAACGAAACGACAAAAGTGACTTGCAGAGAATGAATGAGTGAGTGACTGCTTTTTTTTCGCATCTCTGATAGAAAAAGAGTTTTAAAAAATTTGATACAATTTTTTTCAATATTTTTATCAGTGTGACATTTTTTTAGATAGATGTAACTTGAGTGTAATTTCTGTCACATGATAGCTTAGAAGTTACTCTTCAAATACAGAGTGGTCCAAAAGTCACTGGGTACCCTTAAATTGCTAATAAATCTTGATTCCTCTTATAAATGTATTCATTTAAAATTCAGCATTCTTATCCAATAGATATTTATTAATAGAGACAGCTGCATCGCATTGAATAACTCTTTCTTTGATATCAATGCTTGATTTTAAATGAAGAGATAACAAAGATTACGAATTATTAGCAATTGAAGAGTGCCCAGTGCCTTTTGGACCATCCTGTATATACAGTGGGTCCCAAAATTATTCAACCAGATGTAATTTGGATTTTTTTTCGCAGTCTTTAGTGCTAGAAAGAATCCAAATGGTAATTTGAATAGAGAATATTGTTA